TATTGCTGAAGCCTGGCTTGGAGAATTTTGAGCATTACTTTACTAGCGTGTGAGATGAGTGCAATTGTGCGGTAGTTTGAGCATGCTTTGGGATTGCCTTTCTTTGGGATTGGAATGGAAGCAGCCATAGGTATACATATATCCCCTCCAACTCCCTCCAATCTCCTTCCTTATCCCACCCCTCGAGGTTGATACAGAGCCCCTGTTTTAGTTTCCTGAGCCATACAGCAAATTCCCGTTGGCTCTCTATTTTACGTATGGTAATGTAAGTTTCCATGTTACTCTTCCCATACATCTCACCCTCTTCTCCCCTCTCCCCATGTCCATATGTCTGTTCTCTGTTTCTCCACTGTTGCCCTGTAAGTAAATTCTTTAGTACCATTTTTCTAGATTCGGTATACATGCATTAGAATATGGGATTTACCAGCCCAGGTTGGATGCATGAGACAAGTGCTCGGGCCTGGTGAACTGGGAAGACCCAGAGGAATCGGGTGGAGAGGGAGGTGGGAGGGGGGATTGGGATGGGGAAATACGTGTAACTCCATGGCTGATTCATGTCAGTGTATGAGAAAACCCACTGCAGTGTGTTGTAAAGTAATTAGCCTCCAACTAATAAAAATAAATGAAAAAAAAAAAAAGAAAAGAAAATTCCCATACAACTTGGTGGTGTGATATACAGAGAATATCCAGACATCTTCCAAAGTGGTTTGTAATGTACAACTGATGGGGTCTGGTATCTCTGCTGATTTACTGCATATACACTGACCTAAGTCTAGATTTGTCCTTAGAGGACTCATAGATCACTAAGCAGGTGACCTAATCTGTCATGGGGAGGAAGTTTTATAACTCTAGTCATTGAGATTCTTCTAGAATCCTTGAGATTGACTTACACTGGCTTTCATAATCCTCATGATGCTTTAGGTAATGCAAACTGTTTAGAGGGATACTGGCATTGCTTTTCATGATTTCCCTGTCATATTAATTTTCTCATACAATAATATATATCCATTTGAGCAAGTGCTTTCATAGCTTTCTGTATTATTTAATCTAAAATATTAGCTTTATTTCTTTGTTATTGGCATTTGCGCCATCTCATTATGGATGAGGATAAGGCACAGAAAAAATTAGAGAAAGAGTTATGGCTAAGAACTATATTAATATAAAATAGGGAAAAAATGTGTTCATAGACCCTTAACAGCAATTTCTTATTCTTTTTTACTTTGTTTTTTTTTTAAAGTATGGCTCATCATCATTTTTTAAAAATTTAATTTATTTGTTTTGGTTGGAGGCTGGTTGCTTTACAGTATTGTAGTGGTTTTTGCCATACATCATCACCATTTTTAACTTGCTACAATTATACATCCTACTACTAGAAAATAATCATGAAATGAGTAGAATAGTTTAACTCAATATTCTGGATATTATATTTACATGGTAGCAGATGTAGGTAAAATTATGATTATCCATCTTTAGCTATCTCATAGATATGGTATTAGAGTTTCATTTGTCAGCTTTTTATCTGATCACTTTGGAATAACATGACTGTAGGAATTAGATTGAACACAAATTTTCCAAACAGCACTCTGTATGACCTTTTATGAAATAGGTTGGTGAAACTTTGTATACTGTATCTCCCCCTAGGAAACACTTATTAGCATATTAAAGATTGGAAATTCTTACATTAAAAAAAAAAGAATATGGGATTTATCTTTGTCTTTCTGACTCACTTCACTCTGTATCATAGGTTCTAGATTCATCCATCTCATTAGAACTGACTCAACTGTGTTCCTTTTTATGGCTTAGTAATACTCCATTGTGTATATGCACCACAACTTTATCCATTCATCTGTCAATGGATATCTAGGTTGCTTCCATGTTCTAGCTATTGTAAATAGTGCTGCAACGAACAATGGGATACACATGTCTCTTTCAATTCTGGTTTCCTCAGGATATGTTCCTAGGAGTGGGATTGCTGGGATATATGGTGGATTTATTCCTAGTGTTTTAAGGAATCTCCATACCATCTTCCATAGTAGCTGTATCAATTTACATTCCCACCAGCAGTACAAGAGCATTCTCTTTTCTCCACACCCTCTCCAACATTTATTGTTTGTAGACATTTTGATGATGCCCATTCTGACTGGTGTGAGGTGATATCTCATTGTAGTTTTGATTTGCGTTTCTCTAATAATGAGCAATGTTGAGCATCTTTTCATGTGTTTGTTAGCCATCTCTATGTCTTCTTTGGAGAAATATCTGTTTAGGTCTTTTCCCCACTTTTTGGTTGGGTTGTCTGTTTTTCTGGCATTGAGTTGTATGAGCTGCTTATATATTTTGGAAATTAATCCTTTGTCAATTGTTTCATTTATTGTTATTTTGTCTCATTCTGAGGGTTGTCTTTTCACCTTGCTTATAGTTTCCTTTGCTGTGCAAAAGCTTTTAAGTTTAATCAGGTCCCATTTGTTTACTTTTGTTTTTATTTCCATTATTCTAGGAGGTGAGTCGTAGAGGATCTTGCTTTAATTTATGTATTGAGTGTTCTGCCTCTGTTTTCCTCTAAGAGTTTTATAGTTTCTGGTCTTACATTTAGGTTTTTAATCTATTTTGAGTTTATCTTTGTATATGGTGTTAGGAAGTGTTCTAATTTCATTCTTTTACATGTAACTGTCCAGTTTTCCCAGCACCATTTATTGAAGAGGCTCATTGATTTTTGACTCA